CCAACCTACAATTAATTAACAATGAGTGTTAATTGATTGCATTGTTGGGAATAGATTTTACTTCAAAATTTTTGGAATATATTTCATATTGCTCTATATTTGTCTAATTTCTTTATTTTTTTCTGATCTGATATGTTTAAGTAGCGCAAATTGTGGGAGAACTCGTCGACAATTGTTGTTATTCAAATTTCTCATCTTTGTTTAATTGAAACAATTTCAATTTCTAATCGCTCAATTTATAAATTTATTTTATTTCGTATTATTTGAGAATGATTTAAAACCTCTTAAGTAAAGAACAATTTTAATGCTTACACTTGCAGTAATGTTAACTAAACCTTTTGCACTTTTTATATTTCCTATAATCGATTCCTGTGTTATGCAGTTAATACCGTATATGCAAATTATAACGCTTTATCAGTAATATAATTACGATTCTTTTATCATGCTCATAAATTCATCAAATGAAATTCGCCCATCATGATTTGTATCAGCCAGCTGAAATTTAGTTTCAATCAATCCTCGATCTGTTACTTTGATCGTTTCCTCCAGGATTTCTAACACTTCATCTGCAAGGAAGCCTTGAAAAGATTTTATACACAATTAAATAATTTGATTTATTCCTTATTGTTCTTCCAATGAAAATTCTAATTTACAAGGAATGAATAGCAAGGTGTACCTTAAATCATTGTTGAAATTAAAATGTCAATATTTGAATAGGAAGAATAGTAAGGAGGAATGATTAGTAAGTACGCATAGTTAAATAAGGAATTGTAAGATTAGTAAAGAGACATAATAGCCAATGGAAAGATTAGTAGACAGGCATAGTTAAATAAGCTATTAAAATTTTAAGCTATCGCTGTTATTTCGGGAATTCAGAAAGTTCTTACCATCCATGCAGTACGTATGGAATCTGTTGATGGAATAAGGAATGAGATTCTGAAAGCCATCAATTGCAAACTATAGCACAGTTTCCGACGGAATTTCTTCTTTTTGATTTCTAGGGTTTAATTCAATTTGCAATTATTTGCACTACTTTTTATACGTTTAATTTGGCACACTTTAATTTAGTGTGTTCAATAAAATACACCTATAGCTATACACATAGTATAAAATGCCACTGATGGAACTTCACTTGTCAGCGCACTGATTTGAAATACTTCAGTTTCAGCAATTAATTCAGACATGCATCCGTAGCTGTTTACACCGTTTTGAGATAAATTTCATCCAGAAAGGTCACTGGCTTAATGACTCAAAAGTCGCAAGGTTATTTGCAGGACAAGAGAAGGTCTGAGTAGGCCGGCCAATTCATTCAATTCAGTCTGTGCTCTTTTATCAATCTGTTTTTGCATTTTTTTTATTATCAATACCTAAATAATAAAAATACCTTAAATTTCAACAGTTTATTTTACCATTGCTGTCATCACGACATGCAGATTCGCTTGGCACTCAAATTGGTGTGACACGATGGTAAAATTCAGAATGACTCATATAGAAAATGAATATTTACATGGTGGGTAGTTGATATTAAACGTCAGCAGTTGAATGAATTTTGATGTCTGTGTTTTTTAATCTAGTATTGATACTGAATGATTTGAATATTGTTGTTGTAGAAATTTTTCCTCAGTTCAATTTTTGCTCATTTTTTGCTCAATTTTTGCTCAACGTTTCGTTATCAACCAAAAAGTTCCCGCCACTATTTTTATGAAATATGGGATAGCAAAGAGAATAAAGACAAGACAGATCACAAATTTCAATATTAAAATGAGAATTTTTATTTTTGCTAAACATCGAAACTTGGAATTTCTCTAAATTCACAAAACTAACGAGAAGTTATAAAGCATATCGTTTCATGTGTCTTTTCAAGTTGTACTTGCGACTGAAGGATCTGTTGCAATTTTCGCATTGAGGTTTAGGTTGATGTTTTCTCTTGTGATAGTCAAATGATGTGCTATGATTGAATATTAGCCCACAATTGGGTTCTTTACATTCGTAAATAAATGGTTCGCCGTGCGTTTTCTTGTGTTCTCTATATTCTTTGCGACTGTTCGTGTGAAAAGTACATCCGACATATGGATATTCATAAATTCGCTTTTCTGAAAAACTCTTATAACATCAGACGATCATGAAGGATAGAATAAACAGTCTGATTTTTGATAGGAATTCATTAAAAAAAAAACAACCAGTTCTGCTAATAATTACGGTTATTATCATATATGGGATCGTAAGGAGAATGAAAACAAAACAGATCAGAAAGCCAATGTTAAAATGAGACTATAAATTGGCATCTGTTTTGATGGCAGCACTGAAGATGCCGCGCAATTTCTGATACTTACACACCTTTTCGTGCATTGTATATGCCCGAACTGTGGATGTGCTGCAGTTAGGTCTAGAACGAATATTTTCTAAATGCTGCCTCACTGCGCCAAAAGAAATGGACACTTTGTCGCAGTTTGGCTTCATTTTCTGCATTGCAATATTTATTGAATTTCGCATTGCTCCTCCATGGTCGCGGATGTTGTGCAGCACATTTTTATGTGCATTCTGCTATTCCAGATAGAAAAACGTGCTTGAAATTTTGCTAAATTTGCGAAACTAACGAGAAGTTCTGAAGCATAGCTCCTCGTGTTTTTCAAGTTGTGCTTAAAGGAGAAAGATCTGTTACAACTTTCACCTTGGTGTTTAGTTTGATGTGTTTCATTCTGAAAGGCAAACGATGAATGATTGGGCGTTAGCCCACAATCGCGTCGTTTGCGTTTGCAAATAAATGGTTGGTCGGGCGTTTTCTTGCGTTTTCTATATTCATCGCGATTGTCAAAACTCGCATCACATCCGTCATGAGGACGTTTATGACTTTGCTCTTCTGAAAAACTCCTCTTATACTACCAGTATTTGCTAATTAATTAATGTAATTTGAAAACTGATCATAAAATATCAATGCCATAAAATAAACATATCACATCGCATTTCATTTCAATTACCAGAATCAATTCACTTTTTCTCATATATATTAAAAGCAAAAAATTCAGTTTTAATGTTACCTTCTTCTCCATCAATATTATATTCACTGGGATCTGGATCAAAGTATGATAAATTGAAGTTGTCAATGTAGTTTTGAAATTTTTGAAAAATTTTTTAAATTGATTCCTATTGTTGTGAAAGTTTGAATTGTCTGAGTTGAATAGTTTCAGCAATAATATATTTG